AGAAAAGGCTTTCCTTGAAGTTAGTTGAATTGTGGTGCACACTGAATAGGGCTCAGTGGAGGATTTTGTTGGCAAATGCTTACAATGTTTCTAAATTAATTTCTTCCTCTTAGTGGTTTTAATAGATGGGAGTTCCAGTGCTCTGCCTTCTCGAGCTTATTCTCATTCCAAGTGGTTCCAGTCTCCTAATTTGACAGTAATCCAGCTTTCGGTTTGTTAGAAAGAATCTGTGCAAAAGGCTAATGGTGCTATTTGTTTGTATTAAGAGATTTAGATTAAAGTGCTGTGGTGTAATTGTACAAAAATGTAAATATTTTGAAGATTATATTCTTTGTGCACTGTAGTTAAAACTTTTTCTGGAAGTCAATAGAGGTAAGTTTCAAAACTTAGTACAAAAAGCCCCACGGCTGCTTAGCGGAGGTGCCGACCCGGCTCACCGTGCAGGTGGTGAATGGCTTCTCTCCCCACAAGGCAATAACAGCTCGTCAGGCACAGCCGTGGGCCTGGAGCTGCGTGTGGAGGAGGCTTCCGAGCTGCTGGCATCCGTACCAAGGCAGCGGTGCTCCAGGAGGGGCAGAGCCTGCTGGCATGGAGCCTGGGCGAAGCGCTGTCAGCAGCACACGGGGCAGCTGGAAACAGGGAGCAGGGCTGACCCTCGTCCCGTCGCTGTGAGCCCTCAGCTCTGCCAGCTGGGTGCTGCTCACGGAACGACTGAGGCGCCGCAGCGGTTCGGTATCCAAGGGAAAAGAGGGGAAAAGGGAGATGGATGACGGTCACCTTTCAGTACTGTATCTGTAGCAGATGTTGGACGTTCAGTGGGAATGATATTACTTGTACTTCCAAGTAATGATGAATTCCTTGCAGTGTTTTACATCTGTGGTACAAACCAACAGCAAACTGAGCTGAGATCCACGCAGCTGAACGCATGGAGGGGCCGATGCTGCAGCCTGTGCAGGAGGGCTGTGTGTCAGTGGGGCCACGCGCTGCGTTCCCCCATTGCTGTGGCCTCCAGGTGCCCGACACCAAGCAGGTTGCTGGGGGAGGTGCTGCTGGTCAGGATTGGGGCAGGTGTGGAGCCGGGGTGGCTGTGGGTGCTGCACAGCAATGAGTTGCTGAGAAATTTCAGCAGATGCAGAAAAATGTTACTGCGTAAAAAGTGAATGTCAGAATCTTTTTTTTTCTCTCTGCAGTATCACAGGGCAGGAGCTGTGTGTTCTGTGTTATTTGTGTCTCCAGATATTCCAGAGTAGTGCAGAGCTCGCTGGCACAGGAAGGGGCCCACAGAACCAGGGTTGGGTGTTTGAGGAGATACAGCAGCTGCAGCAGCAGCAGATTCAAGATGTGAACAAAACCAAATACTTTCAGAGTAGCCTTGTGTGGGAAGGCAGGTCCTGGGCATCCCTGTGCATAGAAGAGGCAGCGCTGACTGCTCATGGTGGTGAGGTTTGGGCAGCGTCAGTGCTTTCCTGAGCTCTGGCTTCAGATCTGCTAGCTCTGGTTTCCTAACCTTTGTGGTTATACAGTATCTTAAGGTTCTCTGAAGCTGTTTGTAGTGGTGGCTGTGTTAGGGTTTGCCCCGATGTGGGTTGGACACAGATTTTGTTGAGGGAAGTCCCTGTGTGTCACTGCAGTGAATGCACCTGGCTGCTTTTCTTAGCCTGAAGCTGAGGGAGCTGACTCCATCTGCTTCTCTTCTCCACCTGTGACTGCCCTTAGATTCCTGTGTCATCCTCGTGAAGTAAGAACTGCTGAACTGTTTCTCGGTGCATTTCCTCCCAGCACTTAGTGATGTGTTTTCTACCCAAGACATTCCTGGCCATGAGTGGCAGAGCGCAGTGAGCTTTATGGGCGCTGCTCCATCCCAGCAGTGAGGCACAGCCCCGTGCCGCGGCTGCGGCTGTGCTGGGGCGCTTCTCCAGCAGGGGCTGCACCCGCACTCATTGCAACGTTTGATCTAATCGGTGTTTTGCTCGGGAGGCCTCTGGCACTGACGCAGTGAGTGGCATTGCAGTGAGTGGCATTGCAGAGCTCTGCTCCGCTGGGCCGGCGCTGCTGGGGGTGAAACAGTTGTGGTCTGCACAGAGCCTGCAGCTGTGCTGTGGGCAGTGGTGCCCTGCTTGTGATCTCCTGTTTGGAATTCTGGAAAATTACCTTTTGTAGCAGGATGGATCCAGCAGAGCTTCATTTGTTTCCCTCCACTTTAAGGCCCAGTTGGGCATTAAGGAAGCTGTGGTCCCCTTTAGAATGAATGCATATCATGGTGGTCTCGCAGCACGCAGCCCAGCACTGTGCTGCACCCAGGTCCTCAGCAGAGCACGGCGCTGAGCAGCGTGCAGCCGAGTGCTGGGCAGAGGAGGGAAGGCTGTGCAGCCCTGCTGTGGGCTCCACCTCGCCGTGCTCCTCTCTGATCTCAACGCTGCTTTTTTACGATGGCTGTGAGATGTTTTTATGATCATCTTCAAAGGCGGCCACTGATTTTGGTAAACTGAAACAAGAAATCGTGGCAGACGAATTCTAGGGGGTTGTTTCTTAACCAAACCGTTCCGCTGGTCTTCCAAAACACTGCTTTACTTTGTGGCAAAGGGAACGGGGCGTTTTCTTTTCCCTTCGGAGGAGCTGCTGTTCCAATCTCTGCACTCACTTCGCTGTGGTTCTTGGTTTATGTGTTGAAATGATTTGTTACAGAACCCTCTGGACGTATTTGTGCTGGAAACCCACGTGGTTGATATTCAAAGCAACCGTCCATCTTTTTACACGTGTTTGTTCTTTGGTTTGTAATTCACGCCAGGATAACTGCGTTACTTCATCTGTATTAACAAATTTCCTGTAATGCTGCAGTTTCACATTTATTTTCCTTACAATTTGTAATTACCATGGAACCAATGTCACGTTTTTGCTTTTTACTAGCCGTCGGGTCCATGTTTTTAACTTCCCTTCACTAATAGTACTTTTTTGTTGTATCATTTGTTAGAATAAAGACCAAAACATGCTGTTTGATTCTGAACTGCTCTACACGTGGACGTGGCCTTTAACTCTCCCCTCGTGGCGCTGTGCGGGCCGGGCAGTTTGGAGCAACGAGGCGATGTGAGGAGGAATTTTGCCCCGTCCTGGTTGGATTTTAAATAAAATCCTCCATTTTTCATCTAGGATTGTTTGTCACCATTTGAGCTTTGAAATGTTACTGACGGCCTTGTGCACGGTGCAGGAGCAGCGGTGGTGGAACCTGGAGCAAAGCTTGCAGCATTCCTGGGGGCGAAGGAGCCGGCAGAGGGGACCTTTCAGCTTCACTGGTTGGTGTTCAATAATGATGTGAGTTTTATCTCCCAACTCCAGAGCTGCACCCACAGTGAGATGTGACAGCAGCTCTCCTGGGGCCCGCGGTTCTGAGACAGCTGACTCCAACCCTCCATTTACCAGAGGTAAATCTCTCATGTTTAGAGAACCACCAAAGTGCTTCCAACAGTAAAATCGTAGATTTGGGTCAGCTGTGCATATGTAGGCTTAGCAGTTGTGTTGTAGCAACAAAAGCTGTGTTGTACCTACAAGCCTGACTTCAGCTACAGCCACATAGCCAAGCACATTCAGGCTAAAGTGGATGTGGCAGCACGTGCTGTTCTGCCAGGCCTGGCCCTTCAGGTAGAGGGTTGGTGACAGTGAACGTAGGGCAGAGCAACACCTTCAGCCCTTGTGTGGAAAAGACATGGAAGCAGAATGTCTGGCCTCAGGAGACAGGAGGGGTCTAAAGCAGGACAAAACTTTCTCCATCTAAATTTCAGTACGTAGCACAACTCACTAATTCCAAACCGAACAGCACTCAGGAACCGTGTCAGCATGCAGCCCAACTGCAACAAAATGATGACTTCTGTTTTGTTTCGTTTTAGGGGAAAAGCTGTCAGTCAGAACACAGACCTCCTCTAGGCCATCCTGGTGATGGCATGCAAGCAGAACAGCCAGGCTGCTAGGAATGGGTGAAGGCTGATGAAATTCTGCAATAGCCAGTGTAAGTCTGCTGCATAAACATCAGTGAATCCCATTTGGTGCTAAAATATCTATTTCTGCCACTGGCGTTCTTACAATAAAAGCTACTTAAATATTTAATATAGTGCAGGATTTAACAACTGCAACCACGACCAGCCACCACAGGTACTTTGGTTCCCAGCTGTTGTTTTCTAAGCACGTTCAGTTTGCCCTAAATGAAGCTTTTCTCTGCAAACAGAAATGGGAGAAAAGCAAGGAGGGGCTTTCGCTCACCCTTCAGCTCATAATTAGTGCCCTTGGTACCCAGTTCTTTTATCTGTGTCTGAGCCAACAGCTATGAGCAGCTGCCTCCACGTGCACACATTGCTGTGCAGTTCTCTGTGCAATTTTAAGTGGTAAAAAAAACAGTGCTGCAAGTTCCTACTGTGAGTTAAAGCCACCTCGAGGAATGCCAGGGCAGCAGAAGCCGCTACTCAGTAAGGGTTGAACTAATTAAGTAATGCAGAGCCTATCAGAGCACCCGGAAACCTCATCTCTAGAGGCAGGAGATCTTATTTTCAGCGATAATTATTCCACTTAAATCACTAAAATGAAATTACTCGGCGCTGTGTGAGAGCTGGCACTCGGCTGCAGGGCACAGAAGGGCAGCAGAGGCCCAAGCACTGCAGGAGCTGGCAGCATTGGACTCTGAGAGGGGAGCACTGCCCCAAGCTGCCCCTGCAGCACCTGGCATCCCATCTCAGCCCCGTGCCACTCAAAGCCAGGCAGCCGCCCCACTTCCATGGGAGGCAGTGAAACATCTCAGCCTCAGCAAACAGCCCTGGGTTCTCCAGCTGGTGCCCTGGGATCTCAGGCAGCCTGAGGATGCAGCACAGAGGAGACACTTTGCTATAGGCTGAGCTGCAAGCCGTGAGACCGTTAAACACAAGCTGGTGCTGCACTTCCCACCTTCACTCAGAGCCCTGTGAAGGATCCGGCTCGTTAACGCACGGCACGTTAATGACTTCCACAACACCAACGGCTAAGGATCAAGGAGGTTTACTTTATTACTATAAATTGTTTCATGTTCTTAGACTTCACATATAAATATCCTGATGACAACTAAAAAGGCACATCTATGAAGACATCATGCACCTCATCTGTGTCCGTATTTTATTACAAGAACTATCATGTTCTCTGCACGGTCAGAAATAAAAGGCTAGAACTGGTTTTATGACATATACCTCTCTGTATTGACAAAATACTCAAAACAGTTGGTAAAAATTTACATTTCTACAAAGTCTAAAAAATGACACTGCATCTGTAAATGGCAAATTCACTTCTCCTATGGCCAAAGGGCAGATTAAAAAGCAGGCGGTCAGAGCCAGGGGATTCAAGAAGTTCAAGTGCCACTCACAGCTTCCTTCCCAGACTCGCTGTATGCACACAAAGCACTCGCTGCTTCCTGCTGCTGCGCCTTCCGTTCGCATCCTGAAGATAAAAGATCAATGGAAATACAAAAGGATTTACAAAGCCACGTTTCTTTTAAAAAGCATTTGCCCCTTCCTGCCATTCAGGCCCGTTCCCTCCGCTCGCAGCCACTCAGAGCTCCCTGCGGCAGAGCAGCTTTGTCACTGCGCTCGCAGCTCTTACCACAAGGGGGAGCTCTGACGGACTTTTTGCAGTAGGTGAGTGAAGAAAACAACGAGGTCAAGTCTCACACACTCAGCAGTGTAAATAAATACCAGTACAGTTTTATAGGAACAGGAGTATAAGTTTAAGGGTTTTATTATCAAAGTTCTGTAAAACAATTTCAGAAACTGTACATCAACATGGCACAGACTGTAGCCTACTTTTGTCTTTTTACCTGCACAAAAGTAAAAGCTGTTGAACTTCTGTAACTAAGAAAACTGCTTGCCTAACTACCTTGCATATAACGTGGAATCACTGTGTGCATAAGATTACTACTGCAGTGACAGCAACACAAATCAGTTTATACAACTTGAGATCAAGTAGAAAGTACATTATCAAGTAGACTTGCTTTTAAAAGCATACAAAGGTCAATTTTAAAATGCACTACCTTGTACCCACGGGTTCAGCTCACGAGCAGATAGAACAACCTGATTGGGAGAACTGCAATTACTACTGACTTGTAATCACCGGGCACTGATCAAGCAGGGATTCTCACTTCCCAAGCTGAAGCACAGAAGCTCAGAACCATTTACAGCTCGTCACTTCTTGCTGCCTGGGGTGGATGGGAACCAAGGGGTGAAAGACTGGAACCCACAGGTGGAAGTCAGCCCTCCAGAAGGTCAGTGCATTTTAACTTTGTCAAAGCCAGAACAAAACCCAGGGGGGAAAAAAACAAGGAAACAAAAACCAAAGACAAAACAAAAACCCCAAAAACAGAAGCCCAGCCACGTGGCTTAGAACAAAACAAACCCTACCTATGTCAGAATGCTTCTTTTCAGATGAACTGTCAATTTGTTTTTCTGTGTAGTCACACTTAAGACCCTTAAGGAGATCCACTGTATGTTGTAGGATTTTAGAACATTTAGGATGTTTCTGCCACAATCAACATGCAGTCAGTGCATTCCCTAAACTGCTCTATTACTGCAATGAATCAAAGTCTAGAAACACTATCATAAGTGAGCTGATTTACTACAGGAGATCATACAACAAACAGTCCATGCCTGCTGTAGATGCATGCAGCTTTTTACTTTTGCTTGAAGCATCACCAAGTTAGTAAAAATTGCTTGGCTACGCAATCCCTTTCGGCCATAACAAGGATGGTTACCTTTCTAGAAAGCTTTTGATGTGAGTTAGTATCAGGAGCCTTACAAACCATGTATAGCTTGGAGCTGTATACATCTAGATTTAGGATTAACAAGTACAGCATAAAAGAATCACACAGGAATGACACTGATGCACGTCTGCAGCCGTGTTCACTGCCAAGGCAAAATTCAGTCACTCATATCCATGTCCTCCTCGTGGTGATCATCCCCATTTACTTTGGACTCCCTTGCTGATTCGCCGCTTCCTTTCTCAGCCGCAGACTCCTTTACTTTCGGAGAAGAGGAATCTGCCATTTTCTTTTCTTCCTTTTTCTCCTTCTCGCTGTCATATCCCTGTTCCTCTTCATCATAATCCCTTGTGACCTGCTTTGCCGAGATAAGAAAACAAATTAAAACTTGCTTTCACAGCCCCTGAAGCACAAGGCCAGCTCTGCAGCAGAGGCGGGGAAGATAAACAGGTCCTTAAACATACTTTCACATCCTTATCGCTCTCAGATTTCCGTTCCCGATCCTTCTCTTTGTCTTTGCTTTTTTTTTTCTTGCTGGTTGACCGTTCCCTCTCATCTCTACTTCTCTCTTTGTCTTTATCCTTCTTTTTTTCCTTTTTATGCCTACAGTGATAAAATACGGAATGAAAACCACAATCACACCATTGCATGGACAGAACCCAAATTACGCCCAGACCGTCACCCGCAGTGCCTAAAAAATCCAAAGGCAGAACGAACTACGGGCAACGCAGTGCCACCTGCTTTCAGAAAACAACCAAACATCCCCACTCCTCAGCTCTGATCAAACACAGCCACCACAGAGCGACAGCTGCGCTTCTGCTAACAAAGCCAAACTCAGTGCTTCACTAAGGAACCGCCTGCTGGAGGGGAGACGATCAGGTGTCCAGCAGAAGTCAGCTGAGCAGCAGTGCACAGAGCCAAAGGTGCCGGCTGCCTGCTGCTCCTCCGCCCTGAACAGCCCTGGTGTGGAGCTCCTGGGTGCTGCTGTACAGAAGCTCCATTCCTGAAGCTCATTAAGTTATGCTAAAGGAGGCAGCGGATCCACTCCTCTCAAGGAGGCAGCTGACAGGGAGAAGAGACAAGCCGTGTTCGTGCCACCTGCAGTCCAACCCCACGGCGCTCTGTGCTTCCGTTCACGTTAGGAGTTTTGCCCTGGATGCATTTTTCAGCCAAGAGCTCACTGACCTTCTGGGAGATGGGGACCGTGACATTTTCCTTTTAGGTGACCTGGGCTTTTTAGGTGACCGTGTTCCACTCCTGCTTCTTCTGCGCCGTCTTTCTCTGCAGGAAAGAATCATTAAAGCCTTTGTTTGTTTTTAAGCTCCAAATACATCCGTGGCTCCAGAATGAGCTCTAGAGGTAGTAAATATGCAATATAAGTGGAAGCTGGTACCTACTGCCAGCAGTACTGCAAAGCCCACGCAGCTGCTATCAGCAGAGTGAGCCACTTGCTATTACACCACCACCTTAACGAAGAAACCGCTGCCCCATGTATCCCATCCCTGATTATCTCCACCCTACTAATTACAAGACTTATTTCCACTGATGTGGACCAGGTATGCTGGAAATAGAGAACCATCAGGTTTCCCACAAGTCTCCATACCTGCTTGTGCTTCTGGATCTCCTCGTTGTGCTGTAGCTCTTGGGGGGAGTCTTAGAACGTTTCTTTTCTTTCTCTTCTTTCTTTTTATCCCTGTCAGTAAAACAGACATTTATGTTAAGTCATTTGCAGGCTATTCAAGCAGCATTCGCTACTTCTGCTATACAGAAAAATGAATGAAGACACGACAGTTTCATTGCATAGCATATATTTTATCTTTTTTTTTCTAGTCACATCGATTTCGATAGACAAGAAACCCAAAAGACAATTGCCTATTAAGAAATATAAGAACAGTTTTGTTATGAAAACTACTGTGTGCAAACAGCACAAGATCTGTAAGCCTGGATGCCCACATTCCCTGTTTCCCAGAGGCAGCCCATGCAGAACCACAGCTAAGCCCAGTGCCTGGCAGCTCTGTGGAAAAGCACAGCCTGCACAGTGCACACAGCTGGCTGCACACACACAGGGCAAGATCTACAAGGACATAACAAGAGACTGCTGTTACTACAAAGCCACAGGTCCCTCTTTTAAATTAAACACCTGAATTTTACAACTCAATCACTAGCAAATAGACTACTGAAGGATTACCTGGTTTTGGATGTGCTCCTTGATCTTCTACTTCTCTCTCTGGAATGAGATCTCCTTCGCCTGGGACTTTTAGATCGCCTCCTGCTTCTTGATTTTGAATGGGACCTTCTCCTTGATCTGCTTCTTGACCGTCTACCAAAAGTGAGAGTTGAATACATGAAATGCTGATCAGATTCATGCTAACTGCGTTGCAGTGGAGGAAACAAAAAAAAAGAGTACAGAAAACCAAGCAACCAAACGAGTGGATTTTCAGCCAGCTCTCCTAACGCCCTGCTTGCAGGAAAATAGCAGACCTACTGGAGAGGAAAAGTGGCAAGTACTATTGAGGTGTGAAGAAATGTTTAGAACACCAAACCCAAATACTGACCTGATGGGCAAACAGCAAAGAAGTGCAAAGAGCAGGTCAGTTATAACAGCTTCACAAAGGCTGCTGGCACACGCTGTCTGACTGGGAGTTGACAAGCTGACATTACAAATAAGCCAACAGTACTTCTGCTTAGGCAGGTCAGCATTAACATCCTAGTCAGGATATGTGAGCAGATCAAACAGAATGTGCTGCACATACAAGAAACAAGCAGCCCACAGATTCTGAGCACAAATACCGGTGCTCACACAAGTCTCCCAGTGCTTGGTTTTAAGACAAGCTGTCATTTCCACATGAGCATGTTGGAAAGATATTGAAAAAAGAGGAGAGGTTTAAGGAAACGTCGTAAAACTGACTGCCTGCAACTGAAATGGTTGGCAGCAGTAAGAGCCGTGCAAAATCAAGGCTTGTGCTAAGCTGCTGCTTTTCTGAAATAAGTAGCCTGGTTTTTTAAACCAGCCCAAACTCACATAGGCAAGGAAGCCACATCAGCAGACGTGCTGCTCAGCTGCTCCTGAAGTTCTTGCTGCTGTAGTTTAAAGGATTTTTGAAGGCATTTTTGCAAGCATTGCTCTCCAACCCTTCCTACAGAAACAGGAGCAGGCCTTCATCCCACACTGCCGTTCAGGCAAACCACTCACAGCTTTCCTCACAACTCTCCCATGCCTCCAAGTGTCAGCTCCAAAGAAGTGATGCTGAACACATCGTTCCAGCAGTGCTGTTTTTGTTTTGCTTTTAGAAGCACATCCAGTAACTACCTGTGTCTGGATGAAGAAGGTGTCCTCCTCCTCCTCGAGCGCGATCTTGACCTTGAATGCCTTCTTTTTTCATCTTTTTTGTCTGGAGTTAAAAAGAAGAAGTTTCTTTTTTTAGTTTTATTTTAGTACCCAAGAACATTTTATAAAGAAAACCAAGTTGGACTTCACACTGTAGATGTAATGCAACAAAGAAGTTGAACTGCAGCTCTCCTTTTTCTCAGAAGAACAGATGACAAAGACAGGCATGAAATAAAAATCCACAAATTCAGGTGCAAAACTGAAGTCAAAATCCAGGAAATTTTTAATTTAAGCCACTTAGAGAATAGCAGCTGGAAGGCAATGAGGAGCTCTGTTAAAATCCCTTCTGCTAGCTTATGAGGGCTAAGGCACCTCTCAGATTGCTTTCAATTTGATCCAAGTTACTTCTCATTCCTACTGGGCACATCTGTGAACAAACTGCTGCAACACTCCTACACCTCATCACTGCAGAACTGAATCACACACACACAAAAAAAAGGAAAAGAAAGCATTGTCCACAGATCAGGAATTAAAAGAAAGGAAATCATTGCCAAGAGCAAACATAATCTGAGGTTAAGTCTCCCTGCATCTCCAGGACAGCTGCAGCACAGTGCAGCAATGAATGTGTTCACACCAGTGAATTAGAAATTCAGCCACCACAGAAGACAAAGGCATGAAACCAGTAGTGAACAGACATGATGTCCAACCACCTCCACGAATGAAGGATGCTACAATGGAAAATCACCTGGCTCTATAGCAGCAGAAATTAACGACTGTGCTTCTCGTACTCTTTTCATAGCTTCTTCTATTTCTTTACTGGAGGTATCTGATTTCAGACTTGGTGAAACAAGACCTGCAGCTACATGGTTCAACCTGGAGAACAAAAGCAGCAATTCAGGCATTCAGTATATTTATATATCCAAAACACACAAGCCCACAGCCCACACTGCCAGTTTGCAGCCTACCATTCAGGTAACAGAGAAATAAGCCTGTGATGGAGACAGCCGTACAAAACAGCAGCAAACATGGCTCTCAGTAAGCCATCAATAACAATAAATAAGGACTGTTATGCAGTCATTTACAGTTGCTGCTCATCTTGGCTCGTTCTCAGCCATATTGCTCTCCAGGGCTCTGTCTGCAAGCTGCACCATTACATCACAGGCACAAGAGCGACCAAAATTGCATACAGGAAACTTTTTGTCTCTAGCAAAATGAAATGGCAGAGACTGACTGGGTATTCTATATCTACAATAATTATTATTTCATTGACCCAAAGCAGAATAATCTTAGTTTAATGTCCTCTTCTCCCCACCAGAGCAGACAGAATCAGCAATGACCTCACAGCACGAGGTTTCTCCAACCTTAATTAGATCCAGTAGCACAGAGGTGGGGCTCTGAATCACAGGCATCATCCCAAAAGAAAGCGTTTCCCCAAGTACAACTGCTTGTAAGTAACAAAACTTACTTTGGATCCACTGTGCTCATCAGTTTGAGGAGTTGATCTGCTGCAAGAGACTGTGGGGGGGAACAAGTTAAAATCACGTTGGAAGAAGCACGTGCTGAAGATGCCAGTGTTCCACCAGCAGTGACCAAAGCAGCCTCTGCAAGCGAGCAGCCCCCCAACAAGTTACAGACAGACAGATGCACCGCTCTGTTTCAGAGCTTGGGGGGGATGAGCGGCTGCCTGCTGCATTTTGAGGACACTTTTTGTTCCCCAAAGAGCCAAGCAGCCTTTCCCAGACAGAATCAAAGCACTTCCAGATGAAAATGAACACTTATTCTATGCACAGGTTAGCTCACTGTTACTTCAAGAACACAGACTTAATTAGACACATGCCCAGCAGAAGCTCTCAGTGTCAACTTAAAAAACAAGCAGTTCCTCCACTCCAAGAATGGCATTAAGTTCTTTCTGCAGCACTTCAGTAAATGCAGGCATTACCACCTCTGCCACTTCCTGAACCAACAGTACGTTAACAAAGCAAAGCCTTTTGTTTCCAGCAGCCTCAACACAGAGAGGCAGCCACTGCAGAACCCAGTCTTGCAGTCCAACTGGCTTAATGGACAAAGGAAATAATCATTCCAAATGTATATTTTTCTAAAAAGCATTTTAAAATGCTTATTTTTTCCTTCTTTCATTTCCATGTTGGTATTATTTGCATTTGTTGGCAAACGAGGCTTGCATAAATAGAATGCTAGATGAGGAATTTCCTCAGCACTGCAATTAATAAATGCTTCTTTCATCTGTAGGTTATGCTCTCCATGCAGTGCCTGGTTCTCACACCTCAGACATTAACTCAGTGTTCTACTCACTGTTTCTTAGTACTCACAATCTTTTTTCTTTTCCCCAGTTACAAAGCCACAATCTAACCAAGTCTTGGTGTTTCCTACCAGTACAGAATGAAGGAGCCAACCATCATTTTTTACTGCTGATCTGTCACAAGACAGACTCACAGGATGGTAATGATGCATCCGAAGCATTCCACTGTTCATCTCAAACTATTCATAGGTTCTTGTAGCACTGAATGTAAAAGTACTGCAGATACCATTTCTTCTAAAGAGGAAAATCAATCATGGGGTTTTCAGACAGTGGCTGCTGAACTGATGTAACTGAAAATTGCTTTTCATTGGAGAAGAGGGCAGCAAAAAAAGCCAAATTCCAGATCTTGAGCTTGTTATTTAATACAGTGGTGACACCTAAGAGAACGTGCGACACACCTGAGAGTTTAAGTTTGCTCCAGGAAGCCCGAGAGCAGCAAGGGCAGGATCGAGAGCAGGAGCTCCGAGAGCAGCTAAAGGAACAGCACCAATCTGTAACAAAGGCAGCAATTAGAGCAACGTTCAACCGATACAAACCCTTAAAAGTCTCCACACGATCCATAAATATCCTAACGTGAAGCTGTCAGGGGTTACCAGGGAAATTCACTCGAAGTTTCTGAGCCAGTGACCTCATTCTTCCGTAACTTTGCCCAGGATTCAAAGCCCAGCTCTGAGCTCCTGAACAACTCAGTGCGAGTTCATCTTTCACAGTCACAAATGAGAGAAGTCACACGCAGGAGCGCAAAAAGCACAAGCTGAAGAAGATCTGAAAAACGCAGAGCTAATGAAGCCTTCTACCCTTACAGATCTGCCTCCTGCACTTTGCTTCTGTGCTCTAATAAGATGTGTTGGACTTTTTATTCTGTAATATACATGTGTTTTTTTATTGTTCATCTTCCACATGATTTCTGTGTATTTAAAGAGCAAACGCACGCTGTGACTTTCTCCTCCCTCAGCTGAATGTTACTGGAAGTTATTTCTCCACAGCACAACGCTCTCTTGAAATGCAGGAATTTCAGCTCCACCCATAAGGTCTCTGCTCCTCTCAGGTCTGTCAGTAAGCGAACAGTGGAGAGAAAAGAGAGCTGAGGTGCAGACGGAGCTGTGAGACTCCTGCACGGCACACAGGGAAGGGAAGCACTCCTAGCAGCTCATCAACATGCTGACAGAAACCGTATCGGAGCGCTGCAACAACGCCCTCCATAAGGAGCCCAAGCTCAGACACTCCGTGCCTCGGCATCGGCACGACAGTGGCTCTGACTGGAAACCAACAGCTGGCAAGAAGCAAGCGAGCGGCCAGGTGGGTTCCCTTCATCCGACCAACCAGAAAGCCTACCTGAGAAAGTGGGTTGGGAGTAGGCAGGAGTCCACCTCCAGGCAGCAGACCTGCCACAGCATTGGCTGGTGCCAAGAGAGACAAAGCCTTAGTCTCATCAGGAATGACTCCTGCAGAGAAATAGCCGGGCATTAGAATGCATCCTTTTTCTAAAGCAGAAAATACACAAATACACCCAAGAAAATGTCTCCCTGATACACCACCTGAGTTTGTTGAAAGTACTTATGTTTGCTAAAATACAAAGCTTGATGGCTATTAATATTTATCATTAATTTTTTTTTTTTGTCAGAATGAAACTTCAATGCGTGAAAATCTGACTGTTCCTTTTTCTCTACAAATGGTTAAGTATCTAGAGCAAAAAAAAAATAGCACAATACACACTACTTTTTTGTTAACACTGCCAAGATTTCATCACCTGTACTCGATTTTTAAGTCATGAACCAAACGTAAGCAAGCACAGTCGGTTCTCCAGGGGTGTGCTCTCAACTTTCAAAAGCTGTTTTATGAACAACGACTCGTGTCGGCTGCTTCACTACAAAGCACACAGAAAAATCAAGATACACAAGACAAAAAAAGTTTGATTTAGGGGTTAATAATATGGTACAGTTCACTATGTTTTCTTTTACACCTACCACATCAAATTTGTCAAACTTAAAGAGAAGGTACGGCAATATCTTTTGCTGAATCAAGCGTAGGGCTTTTGCTGACTTGTCAAATAAAAAGGACAGGCCCTGCAGATCTTCCCATACGGGCTGTGTGTGAGTGTCTGCGGGTGCATACGTACAGTACGTCGTGGCACATTCCTTACCTGTGCAGTAAAATGCTTATGTTCCAATATGTGCCATGCTTATTGTACCAACAATGCTGCTACGGAAGAAACTTCTGGCCCCAAATCTTGCAGCCAACTAAGACAAGCGTCTTACTGCACTGCCTGCTCTGCACGGATAATTTGAAGGCTCCTACCACGAAACAAGTACTTATGCAGGTGCTTTACATTCTATCCAACAGCAAAAGCCCTATACAGATGGATTAATTTGTTAATGTGCCCAAGCCCCCAAAATGAGAGTTCAATAAAACAATTTTACTAAATATTTGCAAATACCAGTAGTGTTTCTGTAATACATATTAAGAAACTGCATCTCATCATAAAACATACAATATGTACAGGGCACTTAAGAGAAACTGGATAAGCTGCAGAAGAAAACTGTTGGGTGGTATTTTCAGCAGGGCCTGGTATATAGTTCAGGCTGAACCAGGGAAAAGAACTGTAAAACACAACAACAAAAAAGAAAAACCACTGTTAAATAAAGGTAATGGTTCCTCCCACCTATACTGAGAAGTGCCGATAATACAAACAAATGTACAACACACAGCACTGTTATCTGGCTCGTGTCATTGAGCTGCCATCAATTTAGATACCAAAAGTTACGGAGGGAGAGGAGGGGAAAAAGGTCACTTAGATAAAGGGCATTAAGGCATAAATATATTAACATACCTACAGAGAGATTATGGGGTAATTTCGCATGCAAAATTATGTCTCAGAGGATATTTATCAATTACAGCTAAACATTTCAAGTTAGTGCAGCTACAACATTTCCGGCAGCTAGACACAAATCCTCACTCATCTCCAGACACCTCAGAGAAGATCTGCATTCATTAAAAAAAAATCATGCATCTGATCCTCTACTCGTTTCTTAAAAAAGTATTTAGAAATAAATAAACTACAATTTTAAAAAAGCAATGAGGCCCCTCACCAGTTAATTTTCATGCTTCAAGAGCTTTTTTTACTGCTGCTTTGTTAGAACCATGAAATACTGTATGAATATGTAGAAATGAAAGAAAAAGAAACAGACAAAAGAAACAAACATTAACCAAAGAACCTAGATACCCCCCCAGCCATCTTTAATCTTAGAGTTCCTTCCAAATCTAGGAATATCACAGTGAAAATTACAATGAAGACTAAACCTTACCGTAGACTTTGTGTATAGCTCTACAACACAAAGCAACAGCCAACACCAAAATGTCTGTGTGTGCTAAAACTGGAGTGCGCTTGTGATGTATGGGATAATTATTGCACTAGACAGATAATAAACATTTACTTTAGCGACAGGCAATATTAAAACAGAATTATCACAGCAGAAAATAGGAGGCGTGAGGGCCCGGTTCAGCACAGCAGTTGAGATCTGCCTGACTTTCAGCACATGAGCAATTTCACCGTGCTTTGAAGGATCTCTTAAGTAACGCGTTGAACTGGGAGCCGGCAGCACGCAGCCAGAGCGCAGCCTTGCTCCCGTGCAGGGGCAGAAGCCCGTGGTTACCAAACGAGGGCAGAGCCTTACTGGCTGAGCACGCGGCTGCGATGTGCCACATCCTCGTGACAGAACTGCTCACACTCCGAATCTCTGCAGTACCATAAGGAACAGCCCATGAGGAACTCTGTGACTTAAAGAGGCCCGTTAAAATGCAACTTTAAACAAGACTGAAACTACTGGGCAGAGTTTTTGACGTGCCAGCTTTACCCACGTGCAGCACAATGGACGAGTCAGACTGACAGAGGTATCGTTTTTATCCTTGCTGGAAAAGCTAAATGCTGACATCTGCCAGCACGGGCCTTGCAGAACGTTTTGGTACGGACTGATGGACTGTTACTAGGTCATGCTTTCATACAAAGAGGAGACCGAGATGCCTCTCCACTACACTGTAATACCTGGAGCAGGGAAAGCAGAAGCAGTAACTCCACAGCAATTTCTGAATGTGCTCTGCACTCCCCAAAGCAGCATGTCTCAACCAAAGGTCACGCTGCAGATTCCTACGTTCCAGAAATTGAGTTTCCATCTCTCTTACATTGCAGGAATACAAAGACAAGACGGTTCCCCGGGCCTCCAAAGACATCCTCATAGCATTACAGTGTCGTGATAAAAGGTCTGAACACAGACCGTACACCACATTTATTACTGTAGCATGACTTAATCTGCAGAGGTGGTATTTAATTCAAGCCATTTGGGAAAACCCATTATTTCAGAAGTAAATCAGTACAAGAAAACAGTACAATGGAAATCAATTACTTCTAAAGCAAGTCTAGAAGAGTTTAATAAGACTTCTGCAAGAAGAGGTGTCTTCTCAGCACAGTTTTTAAGTTCCAAAAACCCTGCTCATTGCCTTTCAAATTACTGTAACACCCTAAAATGTAAAAATAAAAAGAAGAAGAGAAAATGTAGTTAACAAGTGGTTACACCAGGAAAACACTTGGGGACTTGAGTGCTTGCTGGCCTTTAGTTAATGTCTAGAATCCCCTGTAGCTGCAGAGGACCCACTGTTTTTCAGTCATCTGGAAGGGCTTTGCATTTGCCTTCTCCACTACAAAAATCACACACACAAATAACAGAGAGAAGAGTTTATTATTTAGTGAAATTCTATTAAAATATAGCATGGCTGAACAAGAAAACTTGGAATAAAAACTATTACCAGTGCCCATGTGGCACCTGTCGGAAGATCTCACTTTCAAATTCAATCCTGACTACTGAAACCCTTGGTATACTGGAGTTCACAATGAGAGTGAATGAATGGCTTTTCAGGGAAGCTCCCCACCGGGTGCAAGGCAGCTCATGCCAAAGAGGTGTTGGCTGCTCTCCCGTGGACTCTCGGGGAGGGAGAAACATTCTCGTGAAGAGATTCACCCACAGGTGAATAAGGCAAAATCTCCCTTGAGCGTTGGCCTGTTTGCAGAACTCCATTGAGGAAAATGTCTCACTGACATCAATAAAGAGCACAATTTGCAAGCAATTCTGCCTAAACTGTTCATATTCTAATCTTAAGACACACAAAACCAGTCAGAGGCAAGCTTCCCGTTTTCATTCAGCACCGCTAAATAAAAGCGGTTTGTAGCCCAGGAGCCCATTGCAATATACCAAGGGTTTTTAAACGTTAATGGCCGTACGTCTGGCATTTTCCTAACGCTCATTTTTGCCAACTACACTGGAACAAAATGTCATCATATGCTGGCTTCATAGACCAGTAAACAATTCACAAACCTTCTGCATACGGAACGACTATCAGCGCTCTGTCGACGAACACCGTGTTCGTCAGGTGCTGGGCCACAACCGCCGAGTCGGGATCGTGGAACTTTACAAAGCACACACGGGATGACACGGGCAAAGGAGAGTCACTGGAAAACAAGGAGAGAAAGCAATGAGATGAAACCAAGTCGGTCGTGAGGAGACATCATGCTACCTGCTCTTGCCTGTCACTGAACCGGAAAGTCAGATGGGTTTATAGAAGAAATCACACGGAGTGAAGACGCTCTCTTATGAAATTACAGAAATAATCCCACTGCCTTGTTTGTAACTGAAAATGAATTCCATTGTGCAGGGTATATCTATGGCAGTCACCTACGGGCAAATTAGTTCTCATTACTTATCTGTAAGAAAGGAAGGAGACAAATAAATGACAAATAAATGTCAACAAGGTCTCTAGGGAGCTGAACAGGAGGGGAACAGCTGTTTGTGAGGGTGGATGGTGACAGGACAAGGGGGAATGGTTTGAAGTGAGACAAGGGAGCTTTAGGTTGGGTATTAGGAGGAAGTTTTTCACCCAGAGGGTGGTGAGGCACTGGAACAGGCTGCCCAAGGAGGCTGTGGATGCCCCATTCCTGTAGGCATTCAAGGCCAGGCTGGATGTGGCTCTGGGCAGCCTGGGCTGCTGGTTGGTGACCTGCACACAGCAGGGGTTGGAACTGATGAGCGTTGTGCTCCTTTGCAACCCAGGCTGTTCTGTGATTCTATGAAATACTTTACTCAAGGACAACAGAGCTATCTTACATATATACTGCAGAAGCCCTCAGAAATGGGAGCTGTGTACTCTCTGCTTTAGCACCCAGATTAGATTTTTGAAGTAAACTATAAAGAAGGCAGTGATTAAAATACAATTATTTTACTTCTTAACACTGTTTCATGAATGCTTCTAGCCCAAACTTCACTGTGCTTCTCCGTGTTGCCAAACACACGCACAGAACCCACCCATCTCCCTTCAGAGGGAGGCACGCTGCTCAGAACATGCCTGTTATTCAACAGTAACAGAACAAAACCAAACAGGACTGTCACGTAGGCAGTGCTATAGATGAAATCACACAAAAGGGCAAAGAGCTCCTGGACAGCCAACCTGTAACCATAAGCCTCTTGGCAAGACGGGCCCTGCCTACTGCACAGCTCAGAGTGAGCGCCTCAACAGGGCTGTGCAAAAATCCCAGGTATGGAAAATCCAAAAGAGAACGTGGAAAATTTGAGTCCATTTAAAGACTAGGAAGATCTCCTTCTTACAAGAGTAAGAAAGCACGGCAGGCTGTGCAAGCCCCGGGGGAAAACAACGACAACAGAAAGAATGAAGGCAAAATCAACTCAGTAAAGTTCCAAAATAGATTTCCAAAAGTCCACACTGTATGAAAACTGCAAATTTTCCTTTAGTCACTGATTCAAATTACATGACAGGAAAAGAAAATGTTATGCAGACAGAACTGCACAGCAGGTGAGGTAAGAGCTGCCTACAGAAGATTCACAGCAGGCACAGGAAGCAGCATCAAGTCCCTAATGCTGTGCTTCCCAACCAGGGCCAGGCTGCTCCCAGCTCTCAGGCAGCAACCAGCAGAGGAGCCAGCTGTCAAGAACACTCCCCGAGTCTTCATCACACTGACCTGCCTTTGCCAACCAGCACCCAGAGACAATTAACAGGACAGTTTTGAAAATGCATCCCACTGCCAGACTGTTCTATCTGGAAAACTGACCAAGTCTTTCATCACTTAAAACAGGGATTATCACAATTCAGGAGAAAGAAGAATGATATGAAGTACAAAATGACACCTTTTTCCTTCCATCAGTGCCAATGCCAACAACTAGCTAACCTTCATCACCACCAAGCAAAGGAATCACAGAATCACAGAATTGTAGGGGTTGGAAGGGAACTCCAGAGATCATCGAGTCCAACCCCCCTGCTGAGACACACAATGATTTCCTGTGTCTCAACAACGTCTCAGTTCTGACCCACATCAGGACAGCTGGGCATTCCAGCCCTCACCTCCCAAACCCCCACATACTTCCTTCCAAGTTCCCCCACATCACAGTCTGCTTTTCAAATACATCATATTTCTGAAGGCATTTTCCTGCTGCTTACACCAACACTGCTGCTGCTCTAACATTCAGGCTGCAATGAATAGTGGGCAAGTAGGAGATGTCTTTCAGCATCACCATATTCATAGTAGGGTGGGAAGAACCAGAGTAGCAACACCCACCCATGCTCCTCACTTTGCAACAGGAGTTGTCATCCTTTTCCCAGCACAGCAACTATGCAGCACTGAGAACCAAGCAAAGCTGCTCTTCTGAGGAGAGTTGTTGCCTTACTGTCACTTGCAATTATTACAGAGAAGGCAAAAGATTTTGCCAATTACCACCACATCCAAATTACAAAGTCAAAATATACACTCCTAATTTTATCATTCTCTCACTCTGTAGATTAGATTTTCCAGCAAATACGTTTTCCTCTTGATAAATTTCTCTGTTTGCTGCACTGGATCACTCATCCACCAACAGGACCAGAATCCACACTGATTTCTGCATCCACATTTCAGAGCAGAAATGTACGTTCTGATAGAAGGACAGCCTCCACATGGTAAACAAGACATGCTGAGATCATCTTCTAAACATGTGTGCAGAAATGTTTTTAAAATATTCCTATGTGGATGCATACAATATAATTTAATTTTCTATATTATATATCCTGTACGATTTTGTTACACATGGTACACACGTACATTTTGTAAGCTCTGCCAGAAGCCCATTCCCTCCACTTCTGCCCATCTCAGAGTCAGGATCTCAAGTTTATAGGAGAAGGAACAGCAGAGCCTCCAGCGCAGAGGAAAGAACCCACAGTGTGGGCAAATACTCTTCTCCCCTGGGCTTCCAACGAAACCAGACACCCCAAGCACCCCTCCCACCATCCATCACCCAGTGTGGCCACACCTCCCGGCACAGCGCGGCGCACAGCGCGGCACCTCCGCACCGACAGAGGCACAAAGGGAGCAACAGGAAAAATCCTCACCACCACCAAGTTAAAAAAGCAATCCCAGCCTGAAAAAAAGCCTTTTCCAACTTCAACTGCACAACCTTACCTCATTTAAACAGCATACAGAGTTTTTAAGTAAAGCCAGTTTTCCATTAAGATACAACACAGTTCACTCCAACAGCTATTCAGTTATCTTCTGCATCTCCTGTGCCAGACCCATTTTGTTACACTACATTTCCTGTTCTCTATTGACCACCTCAGTGGTTTTTCTACAACTTCCAACACAAAGGGCTAAGATCTTCACAGCAACCCTAAGGGATGATGCTGCATTATCCTCTTTCATTTAGAGATCTGAAACACAAAAGAAATATAGGCCAAACGTTCTCAGTGACCTTTAATGCTTTGAGACATCTGGGATCTCAGGTTATTCACACCACTTTGCCTCCTCCTCCGCCAGCACAGAGCCCTCCCTGACACAGCTGTGAGAGCCACAATACCAGTGCCACAACAAAGGAGGCAGAAGTGAGCTGGGAAGAGCAGGAGCTCAGCGTGCAGAAACATCCTTACACTAGGATGTGCCAAAAGGATGCCTTGAAGATACTAGCTATCTCCCAGCGTCCAACGCATCCAACAGACAAGAGGATACAATTCAAAGCTCTCCAAAGCCACCTTATCTCTCCTGTAACCCAGTCCTCGGGTACATGCATGGCAGACTTCAACGCAATCCAGGGCAGATCCACCAGCTGCACTGAGCAAGGTCCTACAGGGCCAGCAATTCACACGTTTGTGCAACAGAGCCAAGTCAAGCACAGCTGGCTGCCTCAGCTACGGTAACAAAGTTGCTGGGCTGAGCTTTGTTCCCTTCTGAAACAGCAGAAGTGATTCTTTAACGTATGAAGTTAATATGTAGCTAAACCAGCACAAAGCTTCGGGAACAGACTTTACCAACAATAACCTCTCCTGAAAAACCAGCCAACACCTGCAAATGCCAAGCAGCACACTCAGTGATCGCATCTGTTTAAATGCAGTTGGCTGTGCTGAGCACCACGGGCTCTGCCATCACACACAGCTACCCGGCTGCTAACAAAGCAGCGCTCGTACCCGCCGCTGCCTCTGCTTCAGTCACACACTGCCCTTCCTTCCACGTTCTCTTCTCCAGCACTGACTTTCCAGCAGCCGACCCAACCCGCACAGCACCCACAGTCTGCACAGCAGGACATGTAGACCTGCTTGCAGGGATCGAAGACCAAACGACGAAAAACGAGGCCGCCTCGCAGCAGGCTGTCCCACTACGGTTAAACACCGTAGCACCGGCCGCCGGTTTTGCAGTGAACTTTTAGCAAGGATCGAGTGGAAAACACTCGTTTTAAGGCTCGCCCTCAGCTCCGAAACTCAGTCCCACAACGAGGGGAGCCCGCAGAACCGCGGCCCGGCAGGCTCCGAGGCCGGCAGCGCTTCCAGGAGGGCGGCGGAGCAGGGCGGGAGCGGCCGCCGGGCCGCGGGCACGGAGGCGGGCGCAGGGAGGGGGGCGGAGGCAGACGGGCCTAGGGCGGCGGACTCACTCCGGGGGGAAGAGGCGCAGCTCCTCGATCTTTCCGAGGAAACCGAAGAGCGTCCGCATCTGCTCGGAGCTGGCGCTGGGGGAGACGTTGGTGACCTGGATCACGTCGGTGCCGCTGCTCGAGGCCATCGCGCCGGAGCTACAAACACACCGCGGGGGGAGAGAAGGGAGAAGAGCGCGTCAAGGCCCGAGCGGCCCCCGGCTGCGCCCTCCGGGCCGGGCGGGCCTCCCGCGGACCGCGGCCTGGCGCAGAAGCTCCGCCGCGCAGCGCGGCCGCCTCACCAGCCTGCCTGGGCCGCAGTATCCCACAATCCCCCGCCGCCGCCCCCGCGCAGGCGCAGCGCGCGCGCCCCGCCGACCCACGCAGCCTCGCGGCGCGGAGCGCAGGCGACCGCGCATGCGCACGCGCGCGTCCCTTGCCCCGCCCGGGAAGGCACGGGAACGGCGCCTGCGCAGCCGTGTGGAGAGCGTCGCTCCGCCTCCGCGCACGCGTACTGGGTGCTCAGGGGCGCGCGGGACGCATCGCACACGCGCGGAGCGGGGATGGGGCCGGCGGCTGCGAGGCGTTTGGCGTCGTGTTCGTGCGTCGGGACGGCTCTGAAGGCTTCGGCGGTGCCGCTGAGTCCCACGCGTCCTCTGTGCGACCTCCGCGCTCTGCTCCGTCCCTAACGGAGCGGGCGGGCGGGCGGGCCCTGTGCTATCCGTGCTGAACGAGCAGCCGCCGAGGCGCTGCCGTGGGAGCGGCCCTGCTCGCTGCCGGCCGCCTGCGGGCTGTCCCACAGGGGTGGGCGGCTCTGCTGTGTGCACACACTGCCGTCAGTGCGCTGAGTGCTGCGGAGCAATGGCTGATACTCAGCTACACGGCGAGCGGTTGCGCGTTTCCCAGTTATTTCCCAAAGTGCGTAAAGGTGCTCCTTTAGTAGTGATCGCTAGTAATTCGGGAAGTTGGCCGTTCCCATTTGTTGTCACGATGGCAGAGCTGGCCGGCTCCAGCTTTGCTCCTGCCCACAGATTTTCCTCTCACAGGGACAAACTAAACGTAACTCGGACACTCGGTGCTTTGGGAAATACGCAGTGGGAAAGCTCAGTGTTTCCCTGTGCAATATTGCCCAGGGAAGCCAATGAACTAAGGAGCAGTGGTTAAAAATGAGAAAGACCAAGCCTGCTATCAGAAGCAAGTGCCTGACAGGCGGTGGGCTCTCAGGCCATGTGCTCACTGACCCACGCTGGTGTTTAGCACCAAACACTGCTCACAAGTCCAATGGAACTTACCAGAAAAAGCTTTTTTTTCCCCCAACGGTTTGTGTTTGAAAACTTGGAACTGAAGGTTACATCCTTTGTGGCCAGGAAGCATGGCTATTCTCACTTCCCTCAAGGCACTGCTGATAGCACCGGGCACAGAGAATCACAGAATGGTTTGGATTGGAAGGGACCTTTAAGATCCTCCAGTTCCAATCCCCTGCTGCAGGCAGGGACACCTTCTTCTAAACCAGGCTGCTCACAGCCCCAGCCAGCCTGGCCTTCAGTGCTTCCAAGGGGCATCCACAGGCAATCTGTTCCCGTGACTGATGGCACTGTCTCCTCAGCTAACTGCCAGGGCTGGAATGCAGAATTTTTTCAAACTCTGGGCTAAAGGGAAGAGGAAAAATAAATAGCAAGTTTAAGTAAAAGTGCCTTTTTATTTGGAATCCTTTATGCATATGTTTAAATTGTTTTTCTTGAGCTCAGTGAGGGAAGGTTTAGATTGGATGTCGGGGGAAGTTCTTTGCTGTGAGAGTGGTGAGGTGCTGGAACAGCTGCCCAGAGAGGCTGTGATGCCCCGTCCATCCCTGGAGGTGTTCAAGGCCAGGTTGGATGGGGCCCTGGGCAGCCTGGGCTGCTGTAAAATGTGGAGATTGATGGCCCTGCATGTGGCAGGGGGTTGGAGCTTCATCATCCTTGAGGCCCCTTCCAACTCAAGCCATTCTATCACTCTTTGATTTCATGATTTTTCTGGATTCGCTCCTTGCAGGGAGTTGTAGAGAGCGATGAGGTCCCCCAGCCTCCCGCTCTGCAGCCTGCACAGCCGCAGCTTCCACAGCCCGGCTTTGCTCCGCGGCTCGACCCTCCTCACCCGCCACCGTGACACCATTTCGGCGCGGCCGCTCCGGCCGGGAAATGGCGGCAGCGGGCGGGCTGTGCCCCACGCGGAGCGCCGCCAGCCCGCCGCCCCTCCGAGGAGCTCCGCCCGCTCTGCCCGCGGCGGGGCGGTGCCGGCCGGGCGCAGCGCTGCGGGATGGCGGCGGCGCGGAGGGCGCGGGCGGGGGATCCTCGCGCCGGCTTCAGGCGGGCGGCGGACGAGCGGAGCCCCGCCGTGCCGCAGGGACTGATCCGGGCCGCCCGGAAGAGCGGGCAGCTCAACCTGGCGGGCCGCGGCCTCGGCGAGGGTGAGCGTGTGGAGGCGGCGTGCTGCGGGCGGGGCTGGGGAGCCGGGGAGCCGGGCTCAGCCCGTGTCTGGCTGCCCTACGTGCCGGGCTGCTCTCTGTGCCCCGGCTGCGGGCGCTCGGCGGGCCGGCTGCTTCCTGCCTTCTTTGATAAACAAAAAAAAGAAAGCGATGAATATTCCCTGCCCGCTTTCTTTTTGCTGTCGCTGGCCGATCGCTACCTTGTAATCGCTGTTTAGGAGCGCTTAGGACTGCCAGCTTCGGGAAAGCGGCTCTGTAAAAGCCGCCGTGTGTGTGTATTCTGAGAAACCGTGTATATGTCTGAGAAAACGGGCGTTTGAGCGCTGTGTGGAGCGTCCGGCTGAGCCCTGTGTTTTGGCTCGCAGTGCCCCAGCACGTGTGGCGGATCAACCTGGACACCCCCGAGGAAGCCCACCAGAACCTCTCCTTCGGTGCTGCGGACCGCTGGTGGGAGCAGACGGACCTGACCAAGCTGATCCTGGCCTCCAACCAGCTGCAGTGCCTGTCTGAGGACGTCAGGCTGCTGCCCGCGCTCACTGTTCTTGATGTACGTATTGGGATCCTGTATCAATGAGATCGTGGTCTCGCTGTATGGTATGGGACAACATAGCTTTAGATCCTTGTTTTCCATTTCCTGCAGTGGTGGATGTGTAGAAGCAGCACCAGTATATTCTCAGGACAAGGGGCTGCTCCCTGTCTCCCATTGGTACATTGCTTTACACACAGGCAGTGGGTAATGCTGTGCAGAGAGGTCCAAGAGTCCCATTGTGAACACTGAAAGAGCTGTTGCTGCATAATGTGCTTCTGCAGATTTCATATCAAATAATTTGAACACTCAAATGGAAACCTACAAGATTGGCAGTTAAAGTGCTGCTGTTGGTAACTGTGCAGAGGAACAGACGTACACAGGTGTTGGTGGTGGACTGAATGGTACAGAGCAGTGTACACAGGTGTTGAGAATGGACTGAATTGTACTGAAGCACATACTCAGGTGTTGCTAATGCACAGAATAATTTTGAGCATTAGTTCAACTTGGTTTGTTGCCGAATGGGTGGAAGAAAACCTACAAAGTGCAACTCAGTAAGTATTCCAAAACTTGTTTTCCAGGTACATGATAACCAGCTGACATCTCTGCCTTCTGCTTTAGGACAATTAGAAAATCTTCAGAAACTTGATGTCAGGTACTTGTCACAAACTTAGAGCATTGATTTTCAAGGTGTGAATGAGAGATTAGTAAAACTAATTTCATTTTCAGAAAAGTTAATATCTGTTGTTTGTTTGTTTTTAATAGAGAACATGAATGCATTGAAAATTATATGTTTTAGATTAAAACTGGTGGTCTGAGGTTTGTTAAGATAATTTTGACTATTACTCAAAAGTCACAGTGTTATTTGGAAGCTGAATACTGATGCTTTGAATACTCACACAAAAGCTGTATCAGCATTCATTTGCTTCAGTACAGAAGTTGTGTTTTAAAGGAATAAAAATGCTTTTTTCATGAATAATATACATTGGAAATAGCTGAAGATATCATTCAGGCTGTAACTTTCATATTGTTCTGTAAGTTTGTACATGAGGGGGGAGTACATTTCTTTTTTGTCTGTGAACTGCACCATAAACAAGCACTGAATGCAGCTGGAATATTGTAGATTCAGATGTGGTTGAAAAGTATTCTTTAACAAAGAAATTTATTTTCTCTTAGGGAACTAATCCACTGTAAAGGGCTGTAATAATTGTAAGAAGGAGATTTTCTTAAGGGCAATGGTGTCCTGTGCAGCACGCCTACATGCAGGCTGCGAGGTGGAAATGTTTCACAGCTGTTCTGAACAGTTGGTCTGTGCCAACAGCAGAGCATCAGATGCATCTAATGCTGGCTGTGCTTCCTACTTGCTCTGTGGTCTGAAGAGTTTGCATCTCCAATGGTGTGCGTGATGCAACCCTAGTTGGGGCAGCATGGTGTGTGGCAGAAGATTCTATATGTGGTTGTATTCTCAAAACTTTTTAACAAGTGTTAATTGGCTTTGTTTTCCATGTTGGAATGCCAGCCACAACAAGCTGAAGAGCATCCCAGAAGAGCTGCTGCAGTTGTCACATTTGAAGAGCCTTCTTCTTCAGCACAATGAGCTGAGCCACCTCCCAGATGGATTTGGGCAGCTCGTCAGTTTAGAAGAATTGGTAAATTGCAACTTCTTGAAAAACACTGATTTGTTCAGAAACATCAACCTATCTATGTTTTACTGCTAATTAAATGAAAAAGTCTGAGAACCTTATTCAGTAATTCATGGAGCTTATCAGCTATTTTGTGTATGTGCTTGCAACCAGGTTTCGATTTGGATTTTCCAGATATTTTAAGAAAAATCAAGTTCCTGGTGATCTGTCCATCATGGGAGACTTCTCTCTTCCATTCACATCTCTACCAGGGAAATCCTGGAGACGTCAGCAATCTAGTTTGAACATTCTGCCAGTAATTAACTTTGCAACAACAGTACCCATGGGATATTTTAAACATCTCTATTTATAACCTCTTTCTCTCTCTTTTCTTTTTTTTTTACTCTTCAGGATCTGTCCAACAATCATCTTACAGACATTCCAACAAGTTTTGCTTTGCTCATTAACTTGGTGCGACTCAATCTGGCTTGTAATCAACTCAGAAACCTGCCTGCAGATATCAGTGCAATGAGAAGTAAGTTAGTTTCCTTGGATTGTTAAATGTCAGGCAGCCAGTTCTGTAGTTATGTTCAGAAGTACATTACACAATATTCCAGGTTATGAAAGTAGGTTCTGAAGGATTTAAAGTATTCTCAAGAGGACTAGCTTAGAATTATTTAAAAAAAGAAGAAAGCTGCTACAGCTCCCATGTATCAAACTTACATCCTCCTGTAGTTCGTATTACTTGACAGATGCTCAGAGGACTGTTAGGAAAGTGTCAGGATTCCTGCTCTGCTGTGAAGTTATTAGCCTTAGAACTGTGACGAGTGTTTAGTGCATGTTTTGAGTGGAAAGTAAAGCATAAATAAGAGCTAGTTGAATTCACTGGTAAAGACAGGACAGCAAGAACTGGTCAGCAATAGGAGTTAACTTTTGTGATGGTGATACCAATCTTACTGGTGTTGATGCTGACATCAATTTCAACGAGTTCTAATAGCTGTGGCAGATCTGTAGGAGCAGGTCATAGACTGCCAGCTTTTGT